GTCTTTTTTACCAAGAATTATTAAATTAAATCGATGTAAGCATTTCCCGAAAAAAATTGCAATATTAAGCTTTTGTTTGGTTTACAGACATATATATATATCTAATTATCGACGTAGTTTGTACAAATCAGTAAATAACCCACTAACACCTTCATTAATATGCAAGCAAAACATCACCCTACTGCCTATCTTACTATAATTTACCGACCAAACGATGGGGTATAGTCAGTCAACCCTCGAGCAACAAACAAAGCGTTCACGTTAAACTCGACCGCGCCAACAACCGCGAATACCCGTACAAAGAGATAGTAACAAAATAAAACAAGAAAAATATGAATGTTGGTATTTACATATATAAATAGCTATATATATGCATATAAATGTACATATATATTTAACAATAGAAACACATTTGTTTTGTTTTCATTGTGGTGTGTAATACACCGGTATCTAGGGTAATATACATATAAAAATATAAGGCAATATCTTCATATATTAATTGTTTGTCTACTTGTGACATATTCAATCAAGTAAAGATCTGATCAGATTGAATGCCTTTGCTTCGTGCATCATGCATCCAAATGCAAAAGTATGAATCGGTTGAATGTATTTATATATAATTACATTGCAACATCGCAGCAATGATATAAATAGGAAACTTTTAATTTTGTAGCACGCATTTGCATTGACAAGCGAAAAAAGTTTGTTTATGTAAAGAAAGTAAAATCATATGTTTAATATTTTAAGGTACGACGTATAGATGGGATAATACTAAATTTTGCTTATTATTGCTGCACTCAATTGTAAATATTAGAATATAAAATATATTCTTATCTTAAGAAAAATAAAAAAACAAATACTTGCTTAATATATTACACCACTGCACCATACGAGAAAATGCATCCGTTCTGTCCAGCGTTTAAGTCATTACCAACACGAGGACAAGCAACAATGGAGGTTGCAATGCTTGCTCTTGCTAGTTAAAAAAAACACAACGAGGAGCGGGCTCTGTTTCGTCATGTGAAATTTCTATAATGTTATCAATATTAACCGTACATTAACATTTATTCAACAAATGTGTATGAAGGACCGAATAAGAAACTTAAAAAAACAATTACTCTCTCGGGCAGGGAGAGATAAATGAAAGAATATATGCGTCATAAAGAACAGAAAAAGGGTCGAACTTTTTATGCCGACAAGCAAATGTACCTTACAATATATATATTCATTAATTCTACTAATTAATTTCTTCTAAATAAGAGAGGACCTTTAAACTCTATAGGGAAATTTAAAAAGCAATATGAGCAATAAAGCATCGTGCTGCGTGCAATGAAAAAAGTAAATTATACTTTTACATGCGGTTGCTCATAAATTATGCGTTATGCATATCGCTGTATGGTCGTATAGACTTCTTGAATAAAACGATCAAGATTGTAGTAAGCCGTAAAAACCATTATAAATCTGGTTAGAACTCGCTGAGCACCCGTTTCCCATCGTATTCTTAAAAATTTCATCTCTAATTAATAAAAGTAAATTTTGCAATTTTTACGCTCTTGTTCTTCGATTCTATGTTTGTAAAATTAAAGAATTGATCACGCTAGATCCAACTAAACGACAAGATGTTGCAATATTTTGTTCACAATTCAAACCAAGAGGTTGCCACGGACCTTTGTGCCTATCAATAACAGTAGCAGCGCCGTTAATTCGAGATCATTTGATTGCTTTCCCTCTTATTACTTCTCATTATGTTAAAGGATTCTAGATACGACTTCGCAATGTATCGAATTGAAATTTTAGGAAACAAAAACGTATAGAATTCTGCGTTTTTAAGTGAAAATGCTGCGCCCCATACACACGTCATACATGTACTATTGTATAAGTCACGCTATATATTTATTGCACAAAGCTTGTTCCGCACAATATTATCCTCAATCATTTTTTGCTAATTAGAAAAAATATCTTTATTTTTCTACAGAAAATTTTCACCGAAATTTATCATTTGTGGAGTGTAAAGTTTAGAAATCTTTAATGCGAGTTTATATTAACGGTGAAAACGCTAGCTACCTAATCTTTGATATATTTTTTGTATATATGCACTTATTTGTGTATTTGCGAAATCGAATCGTATACTCTCTGGCTTTGCAGAAGTCGATACAGCGTGATGTCATCTTTAGAATCCTTTGACAGGGGAATAATCGCGTATAAAAAATGTATCTTCCCTTTCTGCATTCAGATGCTTGGCAAAAGGGGCTGAGTACATAAACGAAAGTTAATTTTCAGCTACGTGATTACCTCTCAGATTTGTTACCCGTACAAAGAATGAGAATGATAGAACTAACAGTAAAATCGCTGCGTATTAACAGCGCTACTGCTGTTATCGCTAAAACAAATAATAAAAGTTCGTGAGAGAGCTATCCACTGCTTCTTATTTTGCAAAATTTGTTGAATGCCGTCGTTATAGAGTTCTCCCTTATTTTACTCTTTCTGACGTTTGGTTCTTTTGAATATTTCGAAAAGCACCTACTTTTAAGTAAAAAACATTTACCTTGATTTACATATTGATATTCTTGAGATCACGTTGGTTTTTCGCAATATTTACTTGTGATATGAAGGTATACACAACACTATATTTGTTTGGCAGAAGGCTATCAACTGAAACTTTATAAATGTGCCAGATTTGTTCGCAACTTTCATCTCTGATAGTAGTGGGTGCACGAACACGCTTTGCAAGATTATTCAAACTGCTGACATTTCACATGGATTTTTTAATTCATACTTTACATTACTTCTTATGCTCTGTTAAAATATGATTCGAATTTTTTTGCTTGACGACCTTTAATTGAAAATAGGTGATGGCATTAAAATGTCCACCTGCCCAATTATTTTATTTGCGTTTTTGTCACATTCTTTGTGGAATTCGGTTAAAGTGATCAGCAAAAACGATGCAGAATTCATAGACAATTTCATTTTCAACTTGGCTTCATTTTCGTAAAACATAGAAGCAAACGCATGTTTTTTGTTAACACTTGGAGTATTATTGTTATTATCCACAATGCAAAAACCTGAGAATCATTCACATAGTTATAAAGAATTGAATCAATGCTCATAGAATTACGTGCCTAATTGCATTTGTGAATTTCATATAGAACGCGACAGAACCACCATTAGTTATTTAAAAGTTTTTCACTTTTCCTCTAACACCTATTCTTATAACAGCCCTGTTTAACAAAAAAGATGCTGCCAAACTAAGAAACAATTCAACGAAGTTGTTACAAACAGCATCGCAAAAAGGAGGCTTTCGTATTAAGTTGAAGACGAAGTAAAAAAATGCAATTTATTTTAAAGTCAATTGTTCGGTAATAGAAAGAATTGTACAAGATCAACGTTAAAAATTATTTTAACTTGACATTTTTCAATAAAGCTTAAATAAATTAAATTCAAGTGGGTAAAAAGGTTATAAACTTTAAGCGAGTGTGTTTGTGTGAGTGACATAGAAAGCCAGAAGATACTTGGAAAATAAAAATAATTAGCTCTTAATTAGCTATTTTAATAATAGCTATAATTAAAGTGAAAATTTTAACTAGAATACAATCGCAATATTAATGGCAAAATTTAACATGGATGACGTTACATCCCAAAGCTCTTCAACAACGCCGATAGTACGGGAAAACATTCCATTAATCAATCGACCGAAAAGACGGTGGTATTTATTTAGGTGTGTTTATGTGTGCATTTTGTGAATCATCATTTGTCTTCACTTGTTTTGTTTATTTATTTATACTTGTTTTGATAACAGAAAGTTTGCAAAGTGTTTTTTTTGAATTAAAGAAAATCTTTGTGATTGAAATTTTTAATTAATTCTTCCGTAGTTTTGCTGTGTTCCTTCTTAAAGTGCCCTAAGTCTATTGTGTTTGTTTGTCGTTAAGCTTTCGTCTATTCTTTAATTGCTTTTTGATATTATTGTGTCTATTTTCATTTGCATATTTGTCATAAATTCGGTGTTACACATTGAGTAAAGCCGTTCGTCAATTTGTCCTACATATATTATGCAATTTATTGATTACTTTAATTTCAAACGCCCTAAGACATATACATGTATATATATATATACATATATATGATGAAACATCATTATCAAATATGCCATTCACAGACAAAATATGCTTTATTAAAATCCTATTGTTTATTTATTCTACTCACGCTCATAAGCTGTGCAGGACTTAAGAAACGTCATACAATCTTATTCATATCTTACCGTCTGGAACGTCGACTTGATGGGAGAACTTGATTTTGTGTACTTTGTAAGCAATTCTTGAAACATAAGTGTAGTTGATTAATGGCATTGCCTTTGAATTTTGTAGAAATTGTAGGGAAAAACTGTCTTATTATACAGGGGTTTTAAGGGAAATTACGCCATAATTAAGGAAAGAGAACCTATGCGACAAAAGGCGGTGTCATTAAGATTATTTAAGTTTCTTCTTATACTATGCATGGTATACATGGTATATTAAGATTATGGGGATGAGTTCAAGTTGACCCCCTTCTATTATCTATAGCGATTCTTAATCGTTTTAAACTTTTTCGGGTTGTATGTTCGTTTGATGCCTGTGTACGTATTTTTGTGTTTTGGCTCGAGACCGAATTTAGACCACGTAAGTCTGTTTTTGGGAGCCGATTTATAATTGGTATTTTCCCACCAAAATAAACGAAAAATAGTATCAGGCGAAGTCGCTTAGCGTAATGACTTGCTTTAGTAATGAAAGAATATCTATAGGCTTTTCCCTTTTTTTTTATATTTGGATACAGGCTTTGTATTCAGTCGTTTTCGCCAAACATCTGAATACGGAGGCGAAAGCTAGATTTTTCATACGTGGTTATCTTTGAGATTTTAACAAGCTAAGTTGACGGTAAATTTCGGCATGAAATATAATGTATCTTTTAGGAACATTGAAATATATTTACAGGCTTTTTTGATTTATATTTAAATGTTTTTTAACAAGTTGTTGGCGAAAATGGTTTGCCGCGCGGGAGCTTCGCGCTCGCACTGTCCACTTGGGACGAGTTACGGCCGAAAAATTCCCACCGAATGAGATTCGTAATCAAAAGTACAACTTCATAACGTTCCTGCCTTTGGTACTTTTCGAGCAATTTCGTTTCTTTTTAAATTTATATTTCCTTTTGATGGCTCTCTCGCAATTTATACCTGATATACGCATTGGCTATCCGTACACTTATTGGGGGCCATTGGGATTTGTGTTAACAGTAACCATCTGTCGTGAAGCTATAGATGATTATCGTCGTCACCAGAGAGATCGTGAAGTGAATTCGCAAAAATATAAACGGTTAGTTGTCTCCGATACTCATGGCTACGAAATGGTGCCTTCGTCTAAATTAAAAGTGGGTGATATTATTATTGTGGAAAAGAATGAAAGAGTGCCAGCTGATTTAATATTATTACGCACGAGCGATAAAAGCGGCTCAGTGTTTGTGCGTACTGATCAATTGGATGGTAGGTGAAAATTTAATATGTCTCTTAACTCTTTTAATATTTCCGACTTTCGTATAAATTAAGGTGAAACCGATTGGAAATTACGTTTAGCTGTTTCGCTAACACAAAAATTGAACAAGGACTCTGATCTCTTTAATATGGACGCCAGCGTTTATATAGAAAAACCTCAAAACGATATACATTCTTTCATCGGCACCTTTGCTATGGTAAATTTTAGAATTTTTAAGCAATTTTATCTTCAACATCTATTGTTCTACTAACTTTTATAGCAAGACGGAAGCGAGGAAGTCGGTTTAAATGTTGAAAACACCTTGTGGGCCAACACAGTAGTGGCAGCAGGCACTGCTACAGGCATAGTCATTTATACTGGCTGTGAGACACGCAGTGTGATGAATAATTCGCAACCTCGTTCGAAAGTGGGTTTATTAGATATGGAAATCAATGGATTGACTAAGGTAGGATTGCCTTTAAGTGGTCTATGCTAAGTTTGTTCACAAATATTTTTTGGTTCTCCTCCCAGGTTTTATTCTGTGCTGTTCTGGGTCTGGCTTTAGTTATGATGATGTTAAAAGGATTTAGTGGTCCATGGTATCGTTACATGTTTCGTTTTGTGCTGCTGTTCTCGTATATTATACCCATTAGTTTGAGAGTAAATTTGGATATGGGGAAAGCTTTCTATTCGTGGCAAATGCAAAATGATTCTGAGATTCAAGGTACCGTCGTTCGCTCCACTACCATACCAGAAGAATTGGGTCGCATTTCGTATGTTCTAACCGATAAAACTGGTACCCTTACACAGAATGAGATGGTTTTCAAAAAGATCCATTTAGGCATTGTATCACACGATAACGACACTTTTCACCATGTGGCGGAAACTATTGGTGCTTTGGCACCCACGATTTTAAAAAGAAGTACAAGTACTGATACCAGCACTTCGAAAATCGCTTTATATTCAGGAAATCGAATGCGCCGACCAGAAGGTTGGCGGGAATGGGAGGCCGTTAAAGCTTTAGCTCTTTGTCACAACGTTACTCCCATAAGCGATGAAGACGACAATCGATCCGTGTCCACATCCTCTACTTTTGCTTCAACGACTGGTGGTTCTACATCGCCAACAAAGTCTGTGATAACTATGGAAATAACCTCAACCAATGAACATCAATATCAGGCTTCTTCGCCCGATGAGATAGCTCTGGTCAAATGGACCGAACAAGTAGGATTAACTTTAATAGCACGCGATATAAATTCTATGACATTACAATTGAAAGCTCATAAAAAATCAGGTAAATTCAACTGTATTTTAACATTTTTTCGTCTGATCTAATCTTACTTTCTTTAGATCACCTTCAGTTTGACGATGACTCTTTAATGCATTTTCAAATTCTGCAATTATTTCCCTTTACCAGTGAATCGAAACGTATGGGCATTATTGTTAAAGATTCGCAATCAGGAGAAATAACTTTTTATCTGAAGGGTGCTGATGTCGTAATGTCCTCCATAGTGCAATATAACGATTGGTTAAGTGAGGAGTCCGGTAATATGGCTCGAGAAGGCTTGCGGACATTAGTGGTGGCTAAAAAAGTTCTCAGCGAGGATCAATATAATGATTTTGAAACGCGTTATAATGCTGCGCGTTTAAGTGTAAGCGACCGCGTGACAAAAGTGGCTGCTGTTGTAGAATCCCTGGAAAGAGAATTGGAGTTATTATGCTTAACAGGTAAATTTGGAGAACAATTCATTCTATTAATATTATGATTACAATTTTTCATTTCTTTCCCTTAAAAAAACAAACAAATAAACACTCTGTAGGTGTTGAAGATCGTTTACAAGAAGGGGTACGACCAACTCTTGAACTATTACGTAATGCTGGTGTACGGGTTTGGATGTTGACTGGTGATAAATTGGAAACCGCTTGTTGCATAGCCAAGTCTTCTCAATTAATTGGACGCAATCAAGGTCTACATGTTTTACGATCTGTTAAAACACGTACCGACGCTCACTTAGAACTGAATCAGTTTCGTCGCAAGCAAGGTCACGCTTTAGTTATTTCTGGGGAATCTTTGGAAGTATGTTTGCAATATTATCGCCCAGAATTTTTGGAGTTAGCTACTGCTTCACCGGCTGTAGTTTGCTGTCGCTGCAGTCCCACGCAAAAAGCTCAAGTGGTGCAATTGATACAAAAGCATACTGGCAAACGGACCTGTGCCATCGGTGATGGCGGTAATGATGTTAGCATGATTCAGCAAGCTGACGCCGGTGTCGGAATAGAGGGTCGGGAAGGACGTCAGGCTTCTTTGGCTGGGGATTTCAGTATACCTCAGTTTTCACATATAGCCAAACTTTTACTGGTTCACGGCCGACGTTCATACAAACGATCGGCTGCTCTTTCACAATTTGTCATACATCGCGGTCTAATAATTACCACCTTGCAGGCCGTGTTTTCGGCCGTTTTCTACTTAAGTTCGGTAGCCTTATATCAAGGTTTTTTAATGGTTGGCTACTCCACGTTGTACACCATGTTTCCTGTATTTTCATTAGTTTTAGATCAGGACATTACCTCGACAACGGCTGTCACTTACCCAGAGTTATATAAAGATTTATCGAAAGGGCGAAGTTTAAGTTATAAAACATTCTTTATATGGGTATTAATCAGTATTTATCAAGGCGGTGTTATTATGTACGGAGCGCTGATATTATTTGAAGATGAATTCATACATATTGTGGCCATAAGCTTTTCGGCACTCATAATGACTGAATTGATAATGGTTGCACTAACTGTTAGGACGTGGCATCGGTAAGACTTTATCACTACAAAATTTTGCAAATATTTTGTATGGAATATTTTTGTACATTTTAAAATAACAGATTAATGGTCTTGGCGGAATTGTTTAGCTTAGCTTTATATTTAATCTCCTTGGCTGTGCTACATGAATATTTCGGTGAGTTTTTAGTTTTTTAAATTGCTTATTAGTTTTGAAAATAACTAAGTTACATTTTATATCCTCTCAGATTGGGAATTCATTTCCTCATATGATTTCTTGTGGAAAGTTTTTATTATTACTGTGGTCTCCTGTTTACCGTTATATATTATAAAATTCCTGCGGAAAAAATGTTCCCCGCCTTCGTATTTGAAACTTTCTTAAGCTATTTTTGTTTTTAATTATTTTATAATGTGTATAATGTGTAAGTTAAACAAAATATTTGGTTATTGATAATAATAATAATAACAATAACAAATGCAATTAACCAACAAATTATAGTGTAAACATTAATGCTTTAGATCGAATTCATCGTAATTGTTTATTAATTAAAAAAAAAAAAGAATATGTTTTTTAGTCTTGAGGTCTAATGTTATGGAATTATTTTTCTGAATTTTTATCTTTATTCAAAGTATTTTCTCTATAAAAAATTAATTTTTTTTAAAATTATTTATTTATATTATTACTTTACAAAAGTCTACCAACAGTTTTCTCTGTACGAAATATTCTAAAAAATTATGTTTTAAAGGTCACCATACAAGTTCAATATTTAGTATTCTTCCTTTATTTATTTATTTTTTTTATGAAATGCAAATAATTTTTAACTCATTTATGGAAGTAAAGATTTTCCTTCTTTTATATATTTGTGTAATATAATAAAGCTATTTTAAAAAGTGATGAAAAAGACTTAACGAAGAATTATTTAAAATCAGCAGGGTCAGTCAAAACATTTATATATAGGGACAGGGAGAGGGGTACAGCGTCTACTGAGTGTATGCCCAAGCAGTAAGTGTTATGCTTTACCGACTGAGCATCCGCTAGATCTATGGCCACAAAAAACTCTACCGCACTTGACCTATTGGCGACTCTTACCTATACTGCTACTCGATCGTAATTTTAAGAAAAACGATACTTGAACGAAATCTAGTATAATCGACATTTTGGAAATTTTTGAAGCACTTCAAAAATACTTAGAACTGAGTGGGCTGTAGGTTTTGCGTGCTTATAAGTGGAGCGGTTCCTTTCAATTAAGCTATGAATGTAGGGGGTCTGTCGGTCTGTATCAACCGCAAGTATCGGAATAACGGCATGCCGTTAGACAAAATCATGCGATTTTGTGGTACTCTTTATAAATCACATGATCTTGCGGGGTATGAGTGTTTTATTCTCTTCTTTTTCCCTTTTTGCATAGCAACAGGCGAAATCGCATGATTTTGCGGTACCCTTTTTTTTCTTTTGCTCTTGCAGGCATGGGCCAAAAAAAATCGTATGATTTTGCTGTACTCTTTTTTTTTGCAAGTACAGGCGGAATCGTATGATTTTGCGGTATTCCTTTGTTCTTTGCTTTTGCAAGCATAGGCAAAATCGTATGATTTTGCGGGATCTTTCCTTATTTTTTTTGCAAGAGTAGCGGCTAGCCGCTATGTAGCAATGCAAAAAAAAAGAAGGAAAGACAGAAAGGAAAAAAAGGAAAAAATCATGCGAGGGGATAGTTTTAAGTTGAGTTTAGTTCTAGTGGAGTTGCAGAGTAGACCTCAACGAGTGCGCTTGCTTTCCGATTGTTTTTTGATTGTACGGCTGAGCCGTGGCTGTTTTTTCTTTTTTGGGCTCAACTGAAAATTGACCATTAAAAATGTCAAAAGAAAAGAAATAAATAGAAAAATGCGCGAAAGAAAAATTTTGTGCAATTGAAATTTGAAATCAATTAACTCGGAAAATATCGAAATTCAAAAAAAGGATAAATTTTAATTAAAACCTCCAAAAAGGATAAATTTTAATTAAAACCTCAAAAAAGGATAAATTTTAATTAAAACCTCAAAGTAAAGCAACAAAAGCGACGTGAATGACGTCAATGTGTCTTTAGTTAAAATTAGCAAATTTTACCACAAAAAAATGAAGTCTAAACCGTTTTTTTATTAAGAAAAAAAGGAGTAACAAAAAAAAACACAATAAAAAAAAAAAAAGGAAGGTGGAACAATTAGAAGAAGCATAAGAGAATCAAGGCAAGGGTAATGGCTGCACCGTTCTTTCAATACGTTTTTTGTCGAACAAGAAGCAAAAGGTTTTCTTATCAAGTGAATAACGTAGAAGATTATTGGTAAAAGGTGACCTTTATGAACAAATGGTCGTGAAGTATTAATGAAGTATTATGGAAAGTTTTAGCAGAACAATGTTTTATAATAAAAAGAAATAGCCAAGCATTTATATAAAAAAAAAAAAGAAAGAAAAAAATAAATAACCAATACAGCAACTTGACAAAGTAAACGCAATTGGAGTAAAGAAAAGAAAACTACACGGATTAGGAAATTTGTTCGGAAGAGAAATTAATTAAATAAGATCAAGAAAATTGTAAAAATTATTTATAAAAACTCAGGAAATTGCTAATAAAAAAGTTCTTCAACATTATTATCAAAAAGATCCCAGTTTATTATTGCAAACAGCGTTTACCCGCGTGCACCTACGCACACAGGAATGGAAATTAAAGTTTGTATTGAAGTGGAAAAGGCTTAATAGAAAGAGGAGCAGGGATTGCCGATGTAGCAGCTACCGCGGCCGACACTGCACCGACGCCGATGCTTGTATTGTAAGTCATTTTTAGTCTATTTAATTTTTTTGTCCCCGATGAGTGGCTAAGCGCGAGCTGCCACCGCTGTGGCTGAGACGAAGGGGTGTGCATATGATGGCACTGTAGGGAGGACTCCAGACGGTTACAGACTGACTTACGGTGGACAGACGGACGGTAGACAACCGACGGGACCTATTCATCTTTTTCTTTGTCAGGAAAATATAAATGCTCTGCCGATATAGCTAAGACCGTGACAATGTATACGCACTAGAAATTTGAAAGAAAGCAAATGCCGGTAACAAAGCGAATCATTTGCGTGTGAACCTCGACGAAGTGCCCGATGTTACGTTATTATTTTTATATTTACTACACATTCGCTGTTGTTCCTAACTTAGTCACCATTTAACACCCCAGATATAAGCTCATATTTCACAAGCGCAAGTCATTTTAGCTGATTACAAATAAAATGAAAGAATATTTTGTACCAAATTCTTTCGTTTTTCTTTCCGTACTCGTCGCGCCAACTTATAAAATAGCATTGCATTGTTGACTCTGGCGCCACCGTTAAATATTTAAACTTTCACTTTAGACAATAACAAATAAAGAAAAAAGGCATTCGGCTTAAACGAGATAAAACATCGAACTTCAGACAAATAAAACAAAAGTTCTAGTTGAGTGTTCATTTTTAGTGGTTGATTTTATTTCGTCATATAACATTAAAAAAAAAAATGTATATATAGATTTTTTTCTTTGTCCAATAAAACTTTGGCTTGGTTTCTTGAGTCCTCTTTTAAATAAAACCTTCCATCATCTCCTGGGCTTAGTAACAGTTGTGCTGCCAATATTTTTATAAAAAAAATACCATATTAAAAATAAAGTTAACAAAATGAATTATTATCCTTGGCACTCTAATTTTTTTTTAATTTTTCTTGTCCAGTCTTATCTTCTATTGTGGTATTGCACCTTATCTTATCTTAAATTATCTTACTTTATCTTATGCTATCTTATTGTATTGTATTGTCTCGTCTCTTCTCTCGTGTTTAATTCTCCACTTTGTTGTTCCTTTCACTCTTCTCCTTGTTTCCGTTTCTTTTTCACTATTCGGTCCGAGCGTCCAACACAAAAAGTCTCTTCTCTTCTTTGTCTGTTACCCTTACCCTTATCTTTGTTATATTCTTTGCTGTTCTCTGCTCTTTTTTGCTCTTTGCTTTCTTCTCTTTTCTTGCTTGTTAGTTCCAACATTCCAAAATAAAAGCCATATCAGAAATCTATTAGTACTTGCTTCCGTTAAGTCGATTTTGAATTATAAATGTATGAGCGACGTAAGCTGTTCATATTCAGGTTATTATACGCTTCCAAGCTGTTTCCAGTGCAATTTTCAATAATCTTCCTCTGAGGGAAAACAGTTTAAATTAACAATATGTAAAACAGGGACAATTTTTATCGCTAGCATGTAACTTACTTTCCATAAAATGATTCCTACCGTTTTCCACACCACCTTAGCATTTGTTTTAAATGGCTGTTTCCCCTGTAGACCTATAACATTATAAACTTGACTTAAAACTATAATAATGTGTACAATAATAAATAAAGCCCTGCTTATCTATAATGTATTACAAATATATATATATCTAAATATATAGTACAAATGCGTATAATGTAGACATACATAAAATAAGATATGGCGGCATGCTGCTTGGCAGTGGGTGGGCGATGCGTTGGACAGTGAGTTGTTTGATGATGATCTATATAATGGAACAATTTAGAAATTTAGTGATTGCCGAATTTTCCTGTACGATCTTTCCCTTGCCCTACAGAAGTATCGCATTCTGCTGAAGCGATGAGTGGAGGCGTATGCTTGTTTTTTAATAAAAAATAAAATTAATTATTTACAAATAATAACAGTAAGTGGAGATAAACAAAAACTTACCTTTGGCATACAGTGAATGTTTGATTATGATGAAGTGGTGAGCGGAGTGTATGGTTCCTTTTTAATCTAAAATAAGGTAAAAATAAGTAAATAAGTGATACATAATAATAATAATATTGTCAATGTACATGCCTTTACTTTTATTATATACATCCTTCGGAGTATGGTGGGTAGTATGCTGCACACAGATATATATAAGTGCTGCAATAGAATAAAAATAAATGTGTAGACGTTAAATATTGAAATATATAATAATATTGTTATGAAATTCGCTTTTGTAAGATACAGTCCGTATCAATATTGTATTACTAAAACATCGTCTTTCACATCTGACGCTTGATTTCTCAACCGGTAGTATTGAAAACTTAATGCCATCGTTCTACAATACATTAAATCTAGCTATTGCTGCATCTGTTCCGATCAAGCATTGTCGACCTCGAAGCAGATGTCCCCCGTGGTTTAATAAGACAATTAAATATCACAAGAATAGAAAAAACTCGCTATTCAAAAAATATTCGAAAAGTGGCTCTGCGCTTGACTATTTCGCTTACTCGGTGGCGAGGCATAGATTTAACTCCCTCAACCATCATTATTACTGCAGATACCTTCAGTTCATTAAATCCTCTCTGTTTGCTAATCCTAAATTCTTCTTTAAATTTGTTAACTCTAAAAGAAAAATTTCCACATATCCCTCTCATGTTTCTTTTAATGGCTCTGGTTCCTCGGATGATTTTGAAATCTCAAATCTATTTGCTGAGTATTTCCGACGAAACTTTTCGATTGCTAATTTTGAGTTATCAGGAAACTACCCATATCCTATAACTAACTCGGTTTCAATACCTAACTTGGTTATTTCGGAAGATGATGTTTTCAAAGGGTTAAGTTCTCTAAAATACAGTTGTTCGCCTGGACCTGATGGAATTCCATCATGTGTACTTAAATCTTGCGCTGTCGAGTTGTGTGGTGTGATCTCAAAGATTTTTAACATGTCCTTGTGTTCAGGTGTTTTCCCTTCATGTTGGAAGAGTAGTTTCCTTATTCCTATCCACAAGAGTGGAAGTAGAC